GAGAGGCATCAACCGCTTCCAAGAGCCTCCAGATGAAGGTGAGGATGGGGTGGGGAGGAGGGTCCCTCTCTTGTTTGCCTGCCTGCCTGCCTGCCCACCTGCCTCTGGCGCATGTGATCAGCAGCCGCGCGTTTGTGGTGCATGGCGGGCTGTTCAGCAAGGATGGGGTTAGTCTGGACGATGTGAGAGGCATCAACCGCTTCCAAGAGCCGCCAGATGAAGGTGAGAGAAGGGTGGGAGGGTCTTTTTCCTGTTTGCCTGCCTGCCCACCTGCCTGCCTCTGGCGCATGTGATCAGCAGCCGCGCGTTTGTGGTGCATGGCGGGCTGTTCAGCAAGGATGGGGTTAGCTTGGATGATGTGCGAGGCATCAACCGCTTTCAAGAGCCGCCAGACGAGGGTGAGAGAGAGGCGTGTTTGGGAGGGCAGAGCGTGTGTGTCTGCGTGGCGTGCTGCCTGCCTGCCTGTCCGTATGCCTGCCCGCCTGCCCAGTGCCCCCCTGCCTGCCTGCCCGCCTGCCTGCCCGCCCGCCCGCCCGCCCGCCTTCCCGCCCGCCCACCCGCCTGCCCGTTTGCCCACCGCGGACTCGCCTGCCGGCCCGTGCGACCCCGTGTTCTGTTTTCAAGAACACTCATGCTGCGGGTCCCATGTGTGCCGGTATTGCTGCCTCCACGTGTGTGCAGGGCTGATGTGCGAGGTGCTGTGGAGCGACCCCTTCCCCGGGCAGGGCCGCATGCCCAGCAAGAGAGGCGTGATGGGAGTGCTCATCCGTGTCCCTTCTCCCATGTGTGCCTGCACCACTGCTCCTATATTTGCTGGCACTGCTGCTCCTCTCATGTGTTACAGGGCTGATGTGCGAGGTGCTGTGGAGCGACCCCTTCCACGGGCAGGGGCGCATGCCCAGCAAGAGAGGCGTGGAAAAAGGAATGCTGCTCACCCTTGTTGTTGCTTCTGTGTGTGCCGGTGTTATTGCTCACTCCATGTGTGTGCTGCAGGGCTGATGTGCGAGGTGCTGTGGAGCGACCCCTTTCACGGGCAGGGGCGCATGCCCAGCAAGCGAGGAGTGGGCGTGGCCTTTGGCTCTGACGTCACCAAGCGGTTCCTGCAAGACAACAAGCTGGGTGCGTGATGTGGGGGGTTAGGTGGGTGAGTGAGTGCAGGGCCAAGGCGGCAGGCTGGGGCACCTTGGAAACTGTCTTACCTGGCGTGGGAGTGGCCTTTGGCTCTGACGTCACCAAGCGGTTCTTGCAAGACAACAAGCTGGGTGCGTTGGGGCGGAAATCGGGGTTGGGGGCAAGGGGACAAGCTGGGTGAGAGGGGTTTGGTGGGTGTGGGGTGAGACCTGTAGGTGTGGGCGTGGGGTGTGGGCGTGGCCTTTGGCTCTGACGTCACCAAGCGGTTCCTGCAGGACAACAAGCTGGGTGCGTTGAGGGAGGGGGGGTATGCAAGGGGGCAAGCCGGGTGTTGGGTGGGGGAAGGGAAGGAAGAAACCTGGTTCTTAAGGAGGCTGGAGATGTGGGTGTGCTTTTCCCATCCTTACAACTCCCCTTACATATGCTTCTGTATCTTGCTTGTGTCTCCGGTAGACCTGGTGGTGTGGTCACGTCACACGAGGTGAAGGAGGAGGGGTCGGGTATGAGGAGAAGGAGAAGCATGAGGGGCAGCTCCTTACTGTGTTCTCAGCACCCAACAAAGCCTTGAAGCTCCCGTTATTGTGGCTTTGTGTCGTGCTTGTCTCCCTGGCAGACCTGGTGGTGCGGTCGCATGAGGTGAAGGCAAAGGGGTATGAGGAGGAACACGAAGGGCAGCTGATACGGTGTTCTCAGCACCCAACCAAGCCTTACAAATTCCCTTACGTGCGCTTCCGTATCTTGCTTTGTCTATCTGGCAGACCTGGTGGTGCGATCGCATGAGGTGAAGGAGGAGGGGTACGAGGAGGAGCACGAGGGGCAGTTGATAACGGTGTTCTCAGCGCCCAACTACTGCGACCAGATGGGCAACAAGGGCGCCTTCATTCGCTTCCAAGCGCCCGACCTCAAACCCAACTTCACCACTTACACTGCCGTGGTGAGTACTGCCCGCAGGGCTGGTGTTGACATGGTGTTGTGTGGGTATGGGAGCATGAGGGGCAGGTGGTCACGGTGCTGGTAGTGGTGCTGGTGGTGGCATGGTGATGTGTGGGTGTGGGAGCACGAGGGGCAGGTGATAACGGTGTTCTCAGCGCCCAACTACTGCGACCAGATGGGCAACAAGGGCGCCTTCATTCGCTTCCAAGCACCTGATCTTAAGCCCAACTTCACCACTTACACCGCCGTGGTGAGTGCTGCTGCTGGAGCTGCTGTTGCTGTTGTTGTTAGTGTTGCTTTTGTTGTTGCCTTCTTGTCACCTTCCTCTCAGTAGTGTCGTTGGAATCCCTCTTCCGTCCCATCCTCATCATCTTTCCCTCTCTTCCTTCGCTCAGTCAACACGCCTACAGTATTTCTCTGACAGCCCCACCCGAACGTGCGGCCTATGGGGCATGCATCCAACTTCTCGTTCCTCTTTTGAGGCGCCTCAGAAGCCCACACTCATCTCTTTTCTCTTTCTTCCTTTGCTCAATCAACACCCCTACGGTGTTTCCCTGGCAGCCCCACCAGAATGTGCCGCCCTTGGTGTATGCATCCAACTTCTTCTTTTGAGGCACCTCAAAAGCCCACACTCATCGCCTTCCCCTCGCTCCCCCTCTCTCATCGCCTCAACAACCCTATCTCACTGGCAGCCCCACCCGAATGTGCGGCCCATGGCGTATGCATCCAACTTCTCCTCGTTCTTCTAGCTATCTCCATCCACGGCATGACAAGGTGAGCTGTAGCCCTGCCAATGCTTGTTCCAAATACAGTCGTTTTTTGCTTTGGCATACAGCGAATGAAACTTTATTGTTGTTTTTGCTGATCTTGTTTGCTCTCTCTTCTTGTTCTCTTGTTTGCAGGTTATTGGGAACCAATTTCATGTTGACCTGCCATCATGTGTATCCAGGTCTACATTTCATTCTTTGTGGGTGTTCGTTACCTAGTTACCCTGCTTTAGGGTCCCGTCCGTATGTTAACAAGTATGGTATTTGCCACCAATTCTTTTCTTATGACAGTAAAAGACTACAGAACATATGGTACATTCATCTAGCCCGGCGCGCAGTCTAGTTCACAGATACCGGTAATTTAACCGTTGTGAAGTTGATAGGCAATAACCAGCGCAAAGACTACAACAAGACTGAAAAAAATATTTGATGGACAGGTACTGGGACTCAGAGAGTATCGTTGATTAGTCTAACGAAACGCACTGCAACTCAATCAGCGAAACCCTTGTCCCGCGCCACATTTGCAGCGTCACCGTGACTCTTACGGCCGAAGTTCCTCAAATGTCCATTTCTTGGAGTCAGTTTCCCGCCAATATATTGGCTTTTGGTCACCCTGGGTGCTTTAGCCCGACTAAACCGAACCAAACCACTCCCCACATCACAGAATCGTCCAATACATCTTACACTTTCCTTTCCTGGTTCTCGCAAGAATCCGTTTCGCGCTTTCTCCCCGTTTTACTGAGCTATCTGTGATGGTAGCTCGAGTCCAGTTCTATCTAGCTTTCAGCATCTCAGCTCGCAAGAACCAGGCTCTCGTTAAAGCGACGGGCAACTTTTGGCAGTGTTGGGTTCAGAAGTTTTTTTTTTGAACCAGGCTTGCCAGCGCGAAAGTGCTGGCTGGCGAAAACCAGGATTTCGTGCGGACACTTTCCATCCGCAGTAACAGTTCGCCAGGGTTCGGGGTTTTGGGTGGCAAATGTGCACCGTCGCTTTAACCGTTGATTGGTTTTTTTTTTATCGTGATCGAGTTCTAAGAATTTCATCGATCTCAACCTCATCACGCGATTCCTTTTCGCATTTAGTCCCGCAGAACCACCAACTGACGCCGTTACTGAGAGATGGCGTCAGCAGCGGACCCGCAAGAGTATAAGGAACGGATGCTGGAGTTATGTTGGGAACACTTTTTGTACCATCGTCCATACCAGGCCTTGATGTACGACATAGAAAAGCTGGGCAACTTTCCTAAGCACAACTTTTTGTTAAACAAAATGTCTATGCTGCGAACCATGGAGCATTACTTGAACACGAGCGGGGTTTCGGAAGAAGTTCTCGATATAATCAAAGGTCTTAATAGACTCTCTAACGACGACGAATACGCTCGAAGCTGCGAGAAATCCCACCGCAACAAAGAACGTCTGCACGGTGTTCCTGCTCCTGATACGAAAATGTGCTCCGACGAGGACGGATTGGCAAACGTTCGGGATTATTTCCAGCGAAAGGAGCTTGGGCCACCGCCAGGGCAGAAAATTCTGCTAGAGGTCATGACAGCCGTTGCGGTTCGGTTTCTTGGCGGGAAACCATGGGAAGTTGCCCAGTACCGTGACGTTTTGGAAAAGGTTTGGTCTGACCCTGGTGACGAATCAGAGGATGATGACGTGGATGCAGCAGAATCGAATCACCTGCAGCAGCAAAAGGCTAGGCGGATGGAGCTATTCGCAGCTGTGGACAACAAGAGCCTGCAGGCTAGGCTCATACAAAAGTACCCTGTTGCCGAGGCTGCCACGTTGGTTCGGAGGTACATGGACGATTCGTGGGCTTGGTTCGGACGGCCGAGTTTGGACGGGATTGCAGAGCAAGTGCTTTTAGGTAATTTGATTATGAGGACGGATGCTGTTTGGGGTGAAGGAAGAGAGGGAAGAGACGGCGGTGGTGGTCATGGTGATGGTGCTGATAGTCTTGGTGGTCCTTCCATGATCACTGATGGCGGTCTTGCTGGTGGTGGTGAATGTGATACTGAGGTCGGATGCCCTAAAGGATATGTGACTGTAGCCGTACATGATCTTATCAGGAGCTGGTTCCCTGAAGGCCTGAACCGAGGTCAGTCAGTGCATCTTGCCCGTGTCTGTTTCTCTCATAGTGCAAAACCCTGTGGAACATGTTATCTAGCTTATGTTATTTCACCCGGGTGCTGATTTTGATTGCTTTTCTGTGTGTCTTGCAGGGGCCCGTAAACTTGAGGATTTGAGGGAAGAGAAGCAACAGCAGGACCAGGTGCAGCGAAAACAGGGGCAGTCACAAGATCCACAAGGGAAGCCAAAACAGCAGCAGCAGCAATCCACTCGAGCACAGAACCAAGAAGAAGCTTATGAGGCGGTTCAACAGGCACAGAATCATGAAGCAGCACCTTCAGCCGCCGCCACCACCGCTGCTGCTGTCAGTGGTGATGCGGAGCAGATGGTTCGTGAGTTGCGAGAGAGCAGTGCGAGACTGAAGGCGGTAGGGCAGGACCCCTTGCCTGACGCACTGCGATTGGCTGAGGCTGCTAAAGCCCAGGTCCGGGATCAGGCTCGGGGTAAGGCTGAGGGTGAGGCTAGGAATGGTGGCTTGGGGGAAGAGAGGGAAGTCGTTCAGGGTAGTAAAGCAAGGGGAGGGGGAAGGAAGGAGAGGGTGGGGTTGGAACACGTGAGGGAGGAGGAGGAAGAAGAGGAGGGTGAGGAGGATAGGAGGACGAATGAAGCTGGTATGTGGAGGAAATGGAAGAAACAGGGGGAAGAAGGGGGAAGGAGAGTAGCTAGTGAGACTGGGTTGGAAGTTCTGGGAAAAGGAGAGGGTGAGAGAAGAAGGCGTGGTGAAGATGGGAGAGAGGAGGATGGAGAGGGAAGGGATGGGGGTGGAAGGAGGAGGAGGATGATGGACCCTCAACCAACCGCACGCATTCTAGAGGTATGGCACTTTATGACACGCCACATGGATTTCCTCACTTCAGGCAAGCCGTTGTGTCTGGACAGGGATGCACCGTCCCTTGTTCCAATCCCATTCACCGTTCTCATATGCTCGTCCGACGCAGTGGTCTGACGCAGAAGAGACTCCAGAGCCAAGCAAATCCTTTACAGGCAAACCTTCACATGCACAAACCACATGCTCAATCCCATGTTCCAATCCCTTTCACCATTCTCATATATGCGCATCCCATACAGTGGTCTGATGATGACGGGGAGTTGGAAGAGACTCCAGAGCCAGCTCAACCCCATGGTCCCAGCAACCGGCATGGCCGCACCAGTATGCCCGCCACAGTGCACCTACGAACGCCCTCCGCCCCCCACCTCTCCCCTCTCAACCTGCATGCTGCTTCTCCTGCCACTGCTGCCACTGCTGCTGCTGCTGGTGCTGCTGCTGCTGCTGGTGCTGCTGCAAGGGGTGGTACGGGGCAAGGTGTGAGGAGGCGGGGAGGCACTGTGACTGCGACTGGAAGGCTGAGGAGGCCTAAGCGGCCGTTCAGTGCGGAGGAGACAGACACACTCAAGATTGGCGTCATGAGGTGAGGCATCTTGAGGTACGGCTTGAGGTGAGGATTGAGGTGAGGATTGAGGTGAGGATTGAGGTGAGGATTGAGGTGAGGATTGAGCCGCAGCCTGATGCACTGCATGCTGCCTGAGGTTCTGATCCAGCTGGAAAATCGTCTCAGCATATGCTGTGAGTGTGTGGTTCTGGCTGGGGAATCGGGTGCTCTCTTCTTGTTCCGGTGTTTTCTTCGTTTTCCTTTTCGGTGCTTTTCTTTCACCGGGTTGTTGATTTTTTGTTTGCCCCATAACGCCTGGCTGTCCCTGGTGCGTGCTGTGCATGGCATGGCAGGTTTGGCAAATCGTGGAGTCAGATCATGCACGAATACGCCGATGTCTTTGCAGGCCGGACGCAGGCAAGTGACCTATACCTGCTCGATTGCTTGTATTCTGCCCGCATGAAGAATTGTCAGGCCGGGTTTTCAAACGCAGTGCGTTTGAAACTGACGGGGTTGCTCCTTGATTGAACGGCTTGAGACCTACCATGGGTATGCAACCGTCTGTCTCAATGGGTTCTCATCTCATAACATGCCTTTTGACTCCTTTGTGCGTCAGTGCTTAATGGTTGGCATCGAAGCTTTATTTGTTATGTTTGCGTTCTGAAGGTGTCGCAGCGGCATTTGTTTTCGCAGGTTGATCTGAAGGACAAGTATCGGAACTTAGAAAGGGCTGGCGAGGTTTAGTCAAGATGCAATCTCTGGTTAAACAAAGTATTGTCACAATGTGATTTATTATGCTCAGTTTGTGAATACGTGATACTGTAGTTTCAAGTGTTTTTCCTACAAAAAAAATATGTCCAAACATGAATGAGATGTGTAAATAGTAATGTTGGAGTTGTGCTTGTGCAATTTGTTCCATACATGAAATGTTTATGTGCGCCGCTCATGCTGTTCAGCCCGCAACTACCTTCAGATTGCAAGTCTAGGCGAAATCATTTGTCGCTTCCCCACCCTACGTTCCGCATTCAACTGATCATCGCACGAACCGGCTGTAACAGTAATCCCATGTTCACAAACTTTCACATGAAAAGCTACCTGCATGCTCACATTTCCTCATAATTTTCTACAAGGTCCGCAAGGCCGTTGCGTCCATGTTAGGATAAATTCGGCTGGTTGCTTGTCGTTCATCAGCTTAGGTGGCTTCAGCAACACGATGATGCTTCTCACCCATGCTTCGGCAGCAGCAGCAGAAACTGAACTTTGCATCCATAAGCATTGTACCTGCCAGCGCTGACGCGAAAACTGCAGTGCGGCCCAATCAAATCGTCATGCGCTGTCACGCAGCTGCATTCCAACCCTCTAGAAGAGGGAGGAGTGTTTACAACCAGCGCAGCGTTTAGCGTGCCACGCGGGCTTCTCTGCGGGTTTAGGCGGGGGTTTCCCGCCAGTCATTAACGAGGACCCCGAGTCAGCAAGCCGAAGGGGTCCCCTTCGTTGTGCATTTTTTCTCTCGTTCTTGCAATTTCTATTTAGTTTTCTTGTCTCTCCCACCTGGCTGCGGAAGCCATGGCGGAATTTACTGCCACCCATTTTCTATAAAAGAAGAATCCTAGGCCCGCGTTTCGAGTTAGCGCTGACGGCTGGTACAGCCGTGTCCCACCAAAGCCACCACTGCCACCTGCGCCACCTGCACCCTCTGCTCCACCTGTTCCTCCGTGTCCTCTCGCTCCTCCTGCTCCTCCGAATCCTCTTGATCCTGCATACATGGGCAATCGTCCCGTGCTCTAGCTTCTGCTGCCATCGACGTTCAATGAGTGGCTTAAAGAACCGGAATCAAACAAGCCCCAGGATGAGTACGTCGATGCACCGCCGTTGACACCACGTTGGGGCGACTTCAAAAATTACACGTGAGATGAGTCCGCGGTGGGCGCTAACGATGACGTGACCGCTGACGACGAGCACAACGCAGAGGGCGGCAAGGGCGTTGAGGCTGGCACCTTGACTAGTACCGAGACTGGCGCCGAGGCTGGCATCGAGATTGGCACTAAGGCTGGCACCGAGGCTGGCAGAGAGGCTGAAGTTTTTCCCGAGGGATGTGTGGGCGGCGAGGACGACGGTGTCGAGTGGTGGTCGCGCGATGGCCTACCTCAAAAGTTAACGATCCCGTCGTATCCGCCTATTAACCGAAAGCGTCCCCACCCCTCTTCTAAGAACCGTGATGCCTGCCCCCCCTCTCCCAAGCACAATCCATCGCAGCATAAGCGTCATGCTTATACTGCCCAAGAGAAGCTCAAGTGGCTCGCGTGTTTGGATGTGGCGGTTTCGGTGCGCACGTTGTCGTGTGAATATGGCATCCACCGTAAGTGTCTGACAGAGTAGAATAGAGTTGCGGAGGCCCTGAAAGACGCTCATGGCGCACGGAAGCGCATGTACAGCCGCGTCGGTCCATGGAGCTTAATATTTACGCAAGGCTACACGACTGGCGGTGCAAGGGAGTTGCAATGTATGCCGGGCGCCTGCAAGAATGGTCACTGGAGTTCACGAAGATGTTGTACTCGGATGTCAAGTGGAAGGGGAGTCAACGGTGGTCGGACCAATTTTTGAGGCGGTGGAAACTGAGCGTGCGCATGAAGACCGTTTTTGGAAAAACCTCCGTCTGTAAGAATATATTGTTTCATTTTTTAACAAGGAGCTTGTATTCGATGTCATTCCGCATGATTCTTAACATATTCACTAACCCCTACTTCTATGCACCCCTTCCACTACGTTCACAGATGACGCGGAGTAGTGCTAGAAAATCTGGCAGTTCGCTCGCGACAACCGGCGTGAGCGAGGAATCGAAACCCGCTACATCATCAACAGCGACCAGACGTCGGTGTGGCTGAAGATGCCGGCAACCACCACCGTGGATCAAACGAGCATGAAGTCGGTGCCCATAAGGTGTTGAAATACACTGAACGAAATAATTGTCCATATGTTCATGTTTCAAGACATGAACGGGCATTAGTGGCCATGGTGATTAAGCCTTAATAACTGGACCACATGAGGTTAAAGCCTGAAGGGTTGTACATCTAAACACGCTGCATGTTGGCCATAAACTCGGTTAAACAAGCAGCGAATATAGAAATGGGCAAATACTAGCATAAGGACAGTTTTTTACAATTACAGTCACACATGCAAAGCAAGCAGAATCTAGTACTTGGTCCAGCGACCCTTGGCCTTGAGCACAGCCCGCACACGCCTAGGCATGCTGTCGATCAGCTCACTGCACCAAGCCGCAGGGATTTTCTCCCATTCCACTTGTACTCTGTCCCATAGCTCGAGAATGCCTGCAGGGGGGTGGGGGTAAGCAAGCAGCTGCTTCTTCAAGTAAACCCACAGATGTTTTATAGGGTTGAGGTCCGGACTAGATGCTGGCCATGGGAGCACAGAGTACGGCTGCTCGGCAAGGTAAGTTTTTGTTGAGAGAGTAAGCACAAGTAGGAGCCATAGCTAGGTAAACCCTAGCTAGGCAAGAGAGAATTGAGCAAAGGAGGGATTTCACTAGCAGTAGTTGGGATACATATAGCAAACCCTAACAGGGTTGTACTCGCTATAGAGCACCCCACTACAGGCTAGATAATAACATTCTGACACACCCCCATAGCCAAAGTGGGGTGTAATCAGCAGAGCACACAGTCATAGAGCAGGTGCACAATTGCAAGCAAAGCTAGAGGCTATCACAGAGGGCAAGTGAGGAGGAGGAGGAACTGTGGAAGGAGAGAAGATGGGAGGCAACGACTGAAGCTGCAGAGGCACGGGCACAGGAGCGGCTGACTCAGTGGCTACCGAAGCAAGGGCGACGGACTACTGGAGTAACTAGCTCCGCGGCTATAGACGAGCGGCAGGAGCAACGGACCCACTGGCGACTGGTGCAACAGGCTCACTGGCTACCGAAGCAAGGGCGACGGACTACAGGCGCTGCAGGCGACACGACAGCTACCTTCACACAACCTCCTCCAACTGCCCCACACCCTCGACACACACCCCCTGCTCAAACCCTAACTCCACTCCCACGTCACCCCCCTAGCACCACTCCTTCGGCTCCCACACACCCACCCCCCTGAGTGGCAGCTGCAGCAGCGGGAGACGGAGGAGGAGGAGGAGCAGGGGACGTCGCACACAACCGGCACCCCCACAACCGTCACCCCCACACTCCCCACCCCCAAACCCTAAAACGGGTGGCACGGGGTAGGAGCGCGGGGGACGGCGAGGGGGACGGCGCGCGGCCCCCAAGGCGCCACCACGGGGTAGCGAGGGGCCGTGCGCGGCGCCAGGGGTGGCGCGCAGCCCCCAGGGCGCCACTGCGGGGCAGCGAGGGGCCGCGCGCGGCTCCAGGGGTGACGCGCGGCCCCCAGGGCGCCACCACGGGGCAGCGAGGGGCCGCGCGCAGCTCCCCAGGGCGCCGCGACGTGAAGAGCGGGGGCCGCGCGTGCTCCCCAGGGCGCCGCGACGAGCAGGGCGGGGGCCGCGCACGGGTCCCCAAGGTAGGAAACCGCCGCGCGCCTCGGGGCGCACGGCGGGCAGAAAACCGCCGCGCGCCCCGAGCGCACGGCGGAAAGAAAACCCGGCAGGAAGGAGTCGCACGCCACGGGGCGTGCAACAGACAGAGTAGCAGCGGAAGCAGTTAGGTGGGCCCACAGGCCAGGAGCGTAGATGCTCTGATAGCATGTTGAGAGAGTAAGCACAAGTAGGAGCCATAGCTAGGTAAACCCTAGCTAGGCAAGAGAGAATTGAGCAAAGGAGGGATTTCACTAGCAGTAGTTGGGATACATATAGCAAACCCTAACAGGGTTGTGCTCGCTATAGAGCACCCCACTACAGGCTAGATAATAACATTCTGACAGTTTTGACCACCTTGCATGTATGCTTCGGGTCATTGTCATGCTGGAACACAACGGTCTTGGGATCAAACTCGTAATGCTCAATAGTATGCTGCAGCTCGTCCTGCAGGATTGAACGGTACAACTCGCCGTTCATTCTTCCCTCTATCTTGCACATGAAACCCGCGCCGTTGTATGTCATGCACCCCCAAATCATGATGGAGCCGCCGCCATGTTTGATGGTCTGTTTCACATGGTGCGGCTCCATGTGACAGTCCTCCCTAATCCAGGCCCAACTACGGCCGTCGCTACTAAACCGGCAGATCTTCGTTTCGTCGCTCCACACCACACGTTTCCAGTCGTCGATCGTCCAGTGCTGATGGTCCTTGGCCCACTGCCTGCGGTCCTTGACATTTTTTGCCGATAATCTAGGCTTCGACGGCTTTTCTACCGCCCTAACTCTGTGCCGCTTGAGAGTGTTTCGCACGGTGGCGCCCGTGACACTGATGCCGTGCGATGAGGAGATCATTCCCGCTGCCGCCTCAGCGGATTTCG